TAACACCAATCAGAAACTCTGGCAACTATAATTATTTAAGCCAATCATTATGTACTAATTAAGGCTCAGAACTTATTGCACTTAAAATTTACAAAAAACACTTAAAAACGTCAAAAAAGCTCTGAAAAAAGCACTTGAAAAATATTAAAAAAAGTGAAAACGGTAGAAAGGTTTAAATTTCCCCCTCTAATGGGTTTAATTTATCTAATACAATTGTCTAACACAACAAAATTAAAGTGGACCCAAAGTTTATTTTTTTTTTAAATACGTAAAATTTTATTCAAACAAAATAATTTGTGTCGTGTTAGAAAATTATAAAGTGCTTTTTTTCAAGGCTTTTTATACATTTTTTAAACTTTTTTTGTGAATTTCAAGTGCAATAAGTTTCGAGCTCTAGTAATAATATAAATATATATGTATAAATAATAACTGTACAAATTCGGCTGGGGGAGAGTTCGACTCTAGTAACGGAGCTCTGCTGTTCACGAGTGTTTTCGTTCATGTTCAGTATGAATATACATGATAATAACAAACGTAATTCTGTTAATCCTGCACAGATGTAGCGCTTGATTTTGTCGTTTCCCATTCTCTGTGACGTCTTCAAAAAAAAAAAAAAAAAATAACAACCATATTTGAAAATAATGGGCGGTAATCGTGGCTGTGTTATAATGGGAATTTTTCCATTAGCGACTAAGTAAAAAAAAAGGGAACAACGCTGTTAAAGCTAACGATTTATATTGAAATTCCAATTATTTCTACGAGGGGAAAAATAAATAAATATAAGTTTATAAAAATATTATTCTTCCCCTACAGTATTGCTCATTTACACCAAAATCCGACATCGTTTCCAATTTCACATATAATAATAATAATATATGTAGGTTTTATACTGGTCAAAATATATTGTTAGGCAAAAAAACTACTACCTTTTTGTGGATCAAAGTCGTCAGAGTAAATGTAAAATAAAAAATAAACCAAAACTACAAATAAGCGTTTTTGGGACGGTGGCGTAAATCAGTAGGACAGGTACTATACCGAAATTGCGTCGGTCGGAATTTCGGGAGAACAAAGGACGAGCAATAACATAAATTTGAACCAACAGCGCAGGCGGCAAAATACAACTGCTCCTGCAACGGCCACCGCCACTGGATAAAATGTCTTTTGGGAATTCTCTGTGTTAAGGCTGTTATATCGGTGGTCGTGTCGTGTTGGTATTCTCCTGCCACTGTATTTCTAAAAACACAACCACCGCCGCCCATCGCCTTTGTCCTTCCTATTGATAAACATGTAATGTACATTTTCATTGGGGGGTTTCCTTTTGACCACTAAGTCAGGATGAATTTATCGATTGTCTATATTGCTCCTAAAATAAATTTAGTTGCGCACTTACACTTACAACTATCAATTCTCTGTTATCTTTGAATCAATCGGACATTGTTCGACGTTCGTGTAAAATTATATTAGTTATATTTTATAATTTTTCGGGAAATAAAAAAAAAAAAACTGAACGATTTACTGTAGACCCTTTTATTCCAACGTTTTTTTTTTTATTATCTTGATTTTGTCTAGTACAAGATTATAAGCTGATACTAAAAAGAAAATAGATAAATTTCAGTGCTAACAATCGATAATCAAATTATCAAATTTCTAAATTTATGTATAATGTAAAACGTGGTTTATAACCTTTTTCACAGTCTAATTGACTTATTTATTATGCTGTATATTTTATTATGCAAACTTATGTTTTTTTTTTATTGTTAAGTACTGGCATATCATATTGAATTTTCACTAACTCAGAGCCTTATAAAAAGACTTGTCGGGACCTCGGAATAGTTGGAAGCGATAATTTCTTAATTGTGTGTAGGGACAATATTGAGTGTACATGTGTCTGTGTCGCATGCGCACTTGTGCGTGCGTGAGTGTGTGTGTGTGTGTGTATTAGTCGTGCCATAGTCCAAAGATCAATTTAACGCTATATAACGTTTTGAATGTCTCCGGTCGTGTCGTCAATACAATTCGAAATAAAATATCATGTTATAAAAGAAATAACTGTGATGAATAAAATTATTACAGTATAACCTAATTTGATTTATAAACATTCTATTATAATACAGACATTTTGTATATAATTGAATTAGAAATTCGTGTCGAAAAATAAGTAGATTCTTAAACTTTTATCATTTATTCTCCTTATTGCTTAATCTAGTGGTTTCTCTATGCTGTACCTATACCTAATCGTATATTATAAATTATTTAACAAGTAATAGCTTAGTTATATTATCACAAGTAGTGAAATTTATTTTATTCTAAACAAAACGAAAAGCGTATCAATTATTTTTTTTACTGAATTTCTATTTTCTATTTTAAAATAAAAATTCGAATAAAAAAACGTACATTTAAAATACGTTTATTATACCTATATAGCATCTATAGTTTTTATTACTCATATTTTAAGAGGGTTAAGGAGTTCAGATGAGTTTCGAGTATTAAGTTAGTATAAAAACCAACATCATTATAATATTAGTGGTTATTAAAGTTTTTGTGGTTATCTTACGCATGGAAAACACTATTCCCAAGGTGAACATATAAGTGAATAAATCTTTCTGTGTCTATATACTGGTATATCGTTCGAAACATATGTTGTAAGTTTTTAATTATATTATGTAGAAATTCATCTGCGGACTTTTGTAACTTGTGTAACATATATTTTGTAACTATTAATATCAGATATTTTATTTGTATTTTTATGTTTGATCTAAAATTGTTTACCCAACTAATATGTACATGGTGGGTTTATATAATTTTATGATTGGTTGCCATAATTACTAACAAAGCGTTACAGCCAGACGGATCACTATTTTTTATATATAAGATCGCCAATGATATTTTTTGAAAAAGATTATACATCTTGTCGTCATGGAAACCATGCCATCTATCAACTATTATACCATTAGTACTAGACAAGTTATAAAGTTATGTCTAAAGCTTGCGGAGTGGCTTGAGCGATAGGAGAAAAGTGGACCCGATTACGGATTGTAACCTGTTAGTAATAATATAGAACTCATAAATGAAAGACATAAACATAATATAGTAATTGTTTTTTAAGAACACTCATTTCACTTCGAGTGGATATAGTTAACAGTAGGTAGTTATGTTTTTATTAAAATTAATTTAAAAATAAATAAATTATTATCTAACTAACAATTTTAATGATGTCATCGTTTAATAAATGATTAGATAATATTTTATCAACGAAAAACTAATGTAATTGATTTTCACAATTTCCTTATCTTTTTTTTAAGTATGCTTTTAGAGTTATTTGTATTAATTTTACCAATTTGGGCTATCCTATTTTAATTAAAAATATTGTCATGATGAAAATAATTATTAATAAATAAAAATATCTAAAAAAATTTTTAATAGGTAATGAACTGAACAAAACTAATTCATTAAAAAATATAACACACCTACTACGAATTATCACTAAAATAATCAGGAAATAGCATGCATCATAAAACTAATTAAAAAGTCAATTAATTTTGTACATGTGATGATATCTTAAAGAAAGGTTTTTTAATGGTGAGATTAGCGATAAATCGTTACATTAAAAAATGATCCTGAATGATACTATATAATATTTAAAATACAATTATTCAAAATTTACCCCATCTTTATAATGATAAAATTAATATTTGATGAACAATTTCAGATTTCGAGAATTATTTGTTGAGCATCTTGGTTCTAACACTATTATAGTTTACATATTTATTATTTTGTTTGACATCTAGTTGTTTCGTATGCTAAGAAAAACTATTGAGAAAATCTTAACAAAACCACTCTGAATATTTAAATATCTACATCAATATTTGAGATGTTGTTTGACCATTTTTGCGTTTTCTCTAAAAAGTTAACAAGTTAACTATCTAAGACCAAAAATAAATAAGATTACACATCATTATAAAACTATATACATTTCTTAGGTCTATTCATAATCTCATAAAACTATATTCACCCTATAAAATTGTATAAAATTAATAATGAATTTTCAATTAGTTCACAAGAAAATTTATATTGACAGCATAATATATATTCAATGTTCAATCATATAATAATACATACCTACCTGACTTCACCATCGACTACTTTATTATTCCCAAGCTATATATTAACTTGATTCTAAGAAGTACTGTTATTTATTCAGTATCTATTTTTCATTCACTTTTAAAAAAATAATATTTAAAGCGTATAGTTTTTTTTAAGTAGGCATACATTTTATAGAAATTTTCAAATAATTTATTAACCATGTTTACAATTATCGGCTATTGTTATTTATTAGTTGCACGTCCTTAAATACTGATAAACTCTCCTTATAAATCTGAAAATTCAGAACTGTAAAATTGTTTTTCTATTTATTTATTTTTTTGTGTTATTTAACTAGTGATAGAAATGTATGTAGGAATATTATATGATGAGTAAAAATTTACTGTAGGTACATATATTATGATAATATTGTAATAAGTTTCAAAATAGTAAATGTAATGTTTTGTTCAAATTAATAATGATGTTGTAATGAAATCTGTCAAAGAGCTGTAATTGACTTTTATCCGACCATAATCCATTAGTAAATGATTTCTTCACACAAAATATATCTGGCAGCCAAAGAAGAAGAAGTAAAAAAAACATGATATTAGGATTTGTTTAGTGACTAGTTTAGTATTTATAGTATTGACCATCAACCTAATATCAACTGTTCTGTATTTGAAATTCAACTTAATATAGTTCTGGTCAAGTGTCGTTAATGGGTGGCTTCTTATCAAATATTCATGTTTTGTTCTGTTACACATTATTAATTATTGAAATTATTATTATTTGATTATTGAAACATGTTTATAAGATCATAAGAATAATCTGTTATCGAGTATTATTGATTTTAACCAAATTGATAAACCAAATAAATATATTGTAATTATTATACTTTATTAAACAAATTATCAAAATAACCCAATTATTCGAAAAATGTTCATCGGTAACCATAAGTCATTTGATCGGATTAGGGCATCCTTCACTCTATGACTCCACCATTGTTCAAACATTTTATGTGATGGTACCACCTGTAGCCTGTAATTTTGCCAAGTATTGAATAATGTTGTTTTTGTTTAAAAACGATACAATGATTTATTACATTTTTATAATTTTATTATAATATGATTTCCACTGATCTCGGAATGTTGTCATTCGGAAGTTTTACACGACCGGATAAATTGGAGAATAAAGGAACATTTGACCATAAACTTAATACCACTAGCGAGTTTTGGGGAAAAGTTAACCTGATCATGGTTGAGGTACCAGTGGGATTACATGCCTCATGATATTTTTGAAACACCAAATCTCCGGCAATGACGTGTTTTTGACAGTTCTTAAATACCTACGCGACGTTGGTAACCTAGACAGTGATATAATACGGTGACACACGATACCGTACAATACCTTACCTTTTTATAAATATAATATTCCACACATTTTGTCATAGATACAACAGAATTTTTTCACTTAAAAGTAAAATGATTAAAAAATGTATTGCTATGACATTGCCAGTTATAAAATCTTCATTAATCATACATTGTTTCACTCATTTAATGCTTTTTAAGTGTCTAAATGGCGATGATTCCAGATTTTGGAGTAACTTTATCCATATAATTTGTAAGTAAACTGTATAATATGTAGTTAAAAACCCGACAATCGACATTATTCATTCTTTTAATAATACATATTTACTTGATTTCATAAAATGCTCATCAAAATTTAACATCATGAATGCCTGTGTTGGAAGATAGAGCGATATTTTTTTAATACTAAAAAAATGATTCGACAAATAATTCTGAGTGAAGTTTGAAAGTAAAATGCTGACGCTTACTGGAATTTAATTTCATAATTGTTCAGTATTTCGCAATTTAAAGAAAATCTAAATGAGAATTTGAATAATTACATCCCATATTTAATTAGGTATCATCTACAGTTTAGACTATGGAATTAGATGAAATTTGTGTCTCTCTAAAAATAATTTGTCGAGAATAAAAACCAAAACACATAGACTTTTTAAACCAATAGCTTCATCACTCTGTTTATTAAATTGATAATTCAATTAAAGTTTATTAATTCAATAGGTATCCTCATTTTGGTTTTATGTATAGATTTTCTCTTACATTTCGTTTAAATTATATATATTAATATTGTGTTTCCTATATGACTAAGATATCAACGCGTTTAAGTTGGGTGAATTGGATTAGATTATAATTATTATATAGGATTACACGAATGTTATAAAAATAATACAAATTCATTTTTGTCGGTAGATATAACAAATTTTCCAATACCTTCATTATATTATTATAATACACATATGTTTCTATATCATGAATTTATGAAATATCACCAAGCAACAATAATTATCCATCAATTTTAAGGAGAAAATGTTAACAATTTCACTACCTTCTATATATACAATGTACAGTAATAATTTATTTTTAATTTTACAAGAATATAAATTTAAAGAACGATAATTTCAGATTAGTATATCGGTATTATAAAATAACAAAAACTAGTGAAGATTTTTATAGTAGTGCGTCAAGTATATGTTTCATTGAGTTTCAATGGATAATCATTTGCTTTTGCCATTTTGACATTTTTAAATTATTTAATCTACAAACTTTTTAAATACTTCAAATCCAATACCAATTAATTTAATACATATTATATGTATGCGACGTTGGTATTTTCGCTAAATAAGTCTCTTGAATTTTACTATTAGGTATTTAATTCAAAATATTTTACGTCAATGTTTTGTGAATGAACGATTTAATATCTTCCAATTCCTGTTAAAAAATAAAACAAAAATAATAAAAAAAAACTAATAACTAATACAAAATATTATGACATTAAATATTTTCAGTTTTAAATTACCAATTCATTATAATTATTAAAAACATATTTCATATTCAAAATGTAAAAATGTTTCACGCATTATTTATTCGTATTGGTTAAAATTATTATACCTCTCATTGAAAATTAATGATATTAATTAATATGTTTTACCCTAACAATTTGACAATTTCTTTTTGAATAAGTGTAGCTATTACCTTATAAGATGAATAAAAAAAAATGAATTCATTTTATTAAATATTTCAGTAGATTTTAACTTACTTTTTGATTTACGCGATGCAATAGACCTTCGTATCCAGTGAATTGGCTTTTGGTGGTGAATTCTTTGAGGATTTCCGATGTTCGTGTACCCAAATTATAAGGAATAACAGGATCTTCCATTCCATGACATTGGAATATCGGTATTTTGGTGTTATTCGTGGCTGCCTAGAAATACAAAATAGTTACTTTTAAATGTATATTATAATATGTACAATGGATTTAGCCTAATTTGAACATTATTTACAACGTTAACAGTTTGAAAAACCGTTTCAATTGGACAGTTTTAATTTTATTAAATTTTAAGATTGTGTACATACAGAAATATACACAAAATAGTTTGGATATCCCGTGAAATTTTAAATAATAATATACGACTTACTTCCGGGAAGGTCTTGTGTAACGGTATCCAAGAGGAGAGTATTAGGATTCCGGCCAAAGGTCTGTGGTAAGTGAGCGCCGAATACAAGGCCAAGGCTCCGCCTTGAGAAAAGCCCGCCAATAACAATTTCTTGGGCGGCAATTTAGTTCTAGCTAATTCTTCGTCTAAAAGTGCATGCACGTTATCGACGGCCCGTAGGATATCCGACTCGTTTTCTGGGGCGTTTTCGTCTAATGAAGTTATATCAAACCACGCCGGGATCGCGAACCCTTTGTTTAACGTCAACGGTTTCTTGGAACTAAGAAAAAATACCAATATATTATAATATTACTGTATATATAAATCGTTGTTCACGACACATAATGTTATAAACTCACGCGGAGGGACAAATAATTTTGGTATTCGGTTTCCGTAATGTTGAAAATATATCGGACCAATTGTTTCTGGAAAAAAAATAAAATTATAGTGTTCAAATAATTAAGATGATTTTAACACGTTAAGCATCTATTTTACCGTTCTAATTTTTGTTTGTGGTTTAAAATAAATAAACCTGATGAATTTTGTGGGTGAGTAATTGATACACATTTTTTTTTATAAATATTCTTTCTATACAAATATTTAATTGATAGTTTTATATTATATATAATTATTGTATGATATATATACATATATTATATAAATTTACTATTGATCTCGTTGGAATTTTCTTGTTACATAAAACACCCAACACTTTTCTCCACTCTATCCAACTACACTTAATTCTATGTTTCATATTATCATGAAAGCCACCATTCTTTTGTACAAAAGATCCTAGGTACTTAAAACTCTCAACCTGGCCTATAACCGCTTATTATCTTTAACTGTCTTATTCTGTTACTCCAAATTCATACTCTATTTTACTTCTACTTATCCTTAATGTCTTTCCTTTAAATATTACTCTCTATTTCTCTAGCCTATGTTTATATCACATTTTACTACCCTTTGCTCTTTCAGACATAAAAAGTATCCTGTAATTTTTTGTTTATTATAAGGAATTTAACAAAATAGATATCATATCAGAATAGGTAAAGTAGTTCTCGAGATTTTTGTTAACATATTTAAATATAGTATGGACGAGGATTGAAAGTTGAAACCATCGAAATCATACTCTCGACAAAATGCTATTCATATGCATACATTTTAACCCCATTCAATAACCCAATTCTAATTGAATGGCTCTGTACAATGATATACGGTGTTAATTAGCGTTTTCACATAATACATAACAGACAAGATATAATTCAATAGTTTTTATTTTCAGAATATATATATATATATTTAACATTCATGATAACATAATATACAATCTATAATAAAGGTTATAATAAGCATATAAGCTGAACAAATAATAATATATATGACCTGAAAGCTTGAGAAGAGTAGCCACATAGGAGTAACACTCAGAGGAGATAAATTGTTAGGTTATTTTCGATACAAACATTATGAGTTTACATTTTTTATTTTTATGTATCAGTTTAGTTTTGCCAAATCACGATACTAGCGCCTCTTAAGTCTTCTCAGTGGATTTCCAGGAATGTTGACTGAGTTAAATGCAAGAATAAGTGGATTCTAGTGGTTCATTAGGTGAGAACGAAAATGTTTATAAGAGGATGTAGCCACATCGGTGACAGTTTTTAGTCCAAGGTCCGAGTAGTTTTTTTGCGATACATAGATGGGTGCATTAGTAATTACACGAATTACGAATTTTGTAAATGTTGAATTTTTTTGCCTCGTCCCATCATGGGATACTGCAGGCCCAAATAGACTTAAGGAGTGTTTTGTAAAGCAACTGTTTATTATTCAGGTTAGGTTTGGAATAAATTTAAAAGTTAACCTAAAAGTGGGTACAGAGACTTTCATCTAGGTTTTGCAAAATACGTTTTTGTTTTATATGCTTGGTCTAAGTTAAGCGTATCTAATCAGACCTAAGTTTTTGACGCTAATAACCAATAGTATAATTTTATTTGACAGAAATGCGAAGAGTTTTCATTATTTATTTTTATTATCCATTTGGAATACCATGCTTTTATGTTAAGATAACTTTGTAAACGCTGGCTGACGACAAATGGGTTGTCATTAAAAGTAAAAATTACTTTATCATCGGCAAATTCAGCTACTGACGTGTAAGGAGAAATTGGTTGATGAGCCTACGGGTCTATATATACACGTTATTTTATAAAGAATGGGAGATGATATAACACCTTGAAGTATTCCGGCCAGGACGGGTGCTAGGTTCGAGAACTCAGAGTCTACTTTAGTTAAAAAATGACGATTTTGACAACCCTATTTGAAAAATAAGAAATAGGGATGGAGGAGAAGATTTTAAATTTAAACAGGAGTACAGTGTGCTAGTCCTTGTCGAAGGCTTGAGCGACGTCGAGTAGTACTGCCTAACAGTATAGTTTGTTTTCGTAAGAGTAGGTAATGATGTCGGTTTAGAATACATTGTACAAAAAAAAAAAAAAAATCGTAAAACCAATTTAATTGTGTAATTATTAACTAAATATAGGGTTAACCTTAGGGTTATACAATAATTGTTATTTTCGTAACGTTATAGTTATTTATTATATTATTATACACTTTTGTACATTTTAATTTGTATTCTATATGTTGTTGATATTTATTTATAGTTTTAGGTTAAATTATATTACATAATATATAATATATTATATGTTTCATATCATAATAAAAAATTGTGTTTATTGTATAACGATAAACTAAATCAAAATAATTAATAGCAATAACGATTTGTAGAATTGTTCAAGTTTTATTTCAAAACCATTTTTAATTTTTAACCTCACTACATATAATTTAAATACGTCTATATTTTTTTTTTTTAAATAGAGGAATTTTTTAAACACAGATTTTAGTAGAGACCATTTTTCTGGAAATAGTTAATATGCATAGCGCTAATATCAGATTTACTATTTATGAGTTATAACCGTTTGAAATTTAGACCGAAGGAGTGGGAAATGATAATAAATTACTTAGATATTTTTAAATGATAAATTGACAATTGCTCCCTACTATTATAACTTAAAACGGAAAATCTGATATTAGTGTTATGCATATCAAAATTTCTGGAGAAATATCCACTATTCGAATTGGTGTTTTAAAAGGGGGGGGGGTACCTATTTGAAAAATGAAAGTATATACTTATTTAAATTATATGGAGAGGGAATAAAAGATAAAAGATGATAAAAAATTACTTATCAGCCCGCCCTCGTAAGTATATATATAGTGTAAGAAATGAAATTTTTAAATTGTTTTTTAAGTTAAATAAATATAAATGTATAATTAATTACCCCGATTCGCCAAGGCCGTGGAAAAAAACAATCTGAAAAAAAAAGAATGCAACTAAAATTATTATTATAAAAACCGGTTAAAGTTAGATAAAATAATGTATGACGTCTATTATTTTATGTGAAAAAAAAAAACCAAATAGATTTGGTAATTTACACGTTAATGGTGAAGATATTTTAATATTATTCAGTCTTTGTTCATATTTAAAATATAAAAATATAACCTATAAAAATATGTACATAATACATAATTTATAAATAATAAATAATTTAAAATAATTTTGGTAAATATTTTCGAATATAATAATATGTGTATCGAAAATATACCTACTACGATATTTTGGAAAGTATTGACATTTACGGATTTTTATTCTATAAATTTAAGAAACATGCAACTCTAAAATGTTACATTATCAGTATTTTTTGCTACCTTAATTTTAAGGTGTGGAGCGACTACCTAATTTTGATTTTAAAAAGGAAACCTATATTGAAAATTCCATTTACATATGGACTATTAGTTTTTATACATTGTGGTGTTGCAGATTTTGATTTCCGTCAACCCGTTGACGAGATAATCCACTTAGAAATTTGTGTAGGGGAGAGTAGTGGAGCATCATTTGTATGGTAGGACGGCACGTGACGTTTTAATAGTGTTCCACTAAAGTCCGTTACATTAATACCCCCAACTTAGAATTTCGTTAAAAAATTTGCACCAACAATTATTATTTTATTTATAATCCTTTATAATCGCAAATTTCGAATTTGTACGGCACTCAGTAACGTTACATTAAGACCACCGCAGTAAATATCGATTTTCACGGGTTCTGAATGCTGTATAAATTCAAAATTTGCACATGTTACAAATGTGCACAAATAAAATAACAATTGTCGGTGTAAATTTTTTAATGAAATTTGATGTTGGGGTTCTAATGCAAGTTACCTGTTTCCCTACTATCACCTATGGCCCTATCCAAACTTATAAGTAGAATATCTCGTAAAACGAGTTGACAGAAATCAAATATTTCAACGCCATAATGTAAATAAACTAATCTAATAATAGAATACTTCATCTATTTATGAGATGGTAAAGGTTGTCGTTTAAAAATCATAAGGAAGTAGTTATTTCACTGCAAATAATAACAATGAGCAAAAATTATAGTAATGAAATATTTTTGAGTGGCTTGTTTCATAAGTTTTCAAAGAAAAAAAAAAGACATTTTGAAAAAGTTAATACTTTCCGAAATATTGCTATGGTTATATTTTTGTTGGACATTCTGTACAACTTCTAAATTAAAAACCGATTGTGAAACGTGGTGGTCGTCCGAAAACATTTCATTTCTGTGCTTTTTAGAACACCACAACCGTTTATATCAATTGATAAATAAAAATAATTCATAATATTTTTGAAGTGCAACCATACTGTAGTTAAATACTATTCTGTTTTAAATTATTTTTATTTTTTACTGTAGGTGAATTCATTCGAAAAATACATAGATAACCTTTTATTAAACCACTCGCAGGCATTTTATTTGGATTAATTTGAGTATTTACCATTTGATATATTTGGTCATCAACGATGTACCTAAAGTATGATTTTCTTAATTTCCAATCCCATTGAGACCATTCAGGTGTATGATACAATTACCTATAACCAAAATCTGAATTCTGGTTTTAATTTTTCTTAGATAATAGTTTTTCAAAAGTATAGATAAAAATATTTAAGGTCAATTTGTAAACTTTTTTTTAATATCATCTTTAATTATCGAATCGACTGTATGCTATATAAATTTAACGAGATAACAGGCTTATAAGAGGTTTAAATGTATTCGACGTTTATTAAAATTAGTATTAAAAATTTATCTATAATAAATCACGCTTAAAGATAATTAAGTACCTACTAATGTAAGAGTTTTCATTGATATTACTGTAAGTATATTTGCGTTTTATTAAATTATGAAAATAATTTTGTTACATAATCAATAATTAATTTCTGATGAAGACATTTATTAAGGTGTATATTAATTAGGTAAAATAAAATGTTAATAATGATTTATTTATTTAAATGTTCAATGTCAAAACTTTAAGCAATTCTATAGGTATAGTATTTGAAAAGGTATTTTAGTTTATAAACCTGTAAAGAATTACTTATAGATATGATGTCTGGTTTATTATATTTTGTTATCAGTTATTAGATCATTTTGCAGGATTTCATCCAATCATTATTTCAATATAAATTAGTTTATTATATAGACAGTTTTTTTTTTTTTTTCATAGAAATCCAGAAATTTTTTTGTTAGTTTTATCTTTATTTCTGAAATTATTAAACCTTGTTTTTTCTATCGAGTAATTTATGCATTTAATTATATTTCAAAAATTAAGCCATACATAAAATCCATAATAATTACCAATTGTCTGTTCTCTACTTATATTTATTTTACATTCCTTAAAGCGAACCTTGTAAAAAAAAAAAAACAAAAATTAGTAAATAAATCATAATGCAGACATTTTAACTTCAGATATATAAATAACTTTAATCCAAACTATTTAGGTCTCCTTCATCAAATATTCAAAATCCTTTTTATTTTTAAATTTTGGTCGGTTAGAAAACTCCGAAAATTTAGTTTGTGTTATAGTTACGGTTCAACCTTGTTGCAGTGTATTAAAATATCTAACGGACTCAAAAATTGTTGACCGGCTCTTTTGAACATTCTCGAAGTATTTGATCGTCGTTAAATAAACCTATTTACCGCAAAATTCAAAATGCTTGTTCTAATGAACTAAATAATTTTCTGTACCCAAAATTAGGAGGTATTTTGGGTTGCTGACAATGTCTAACTAACCACTAGAAACCCACTTCTTTACGTTAAAACTATCATAATATAATACCTGTTATCATTGGTTTTCGGGTAGTCTTTATGACGCCAAAACTTTCATTTACTGATATATTTATTTATTTAAATGGTTTAATGAATAATGTTTTTTTTTGTCTAATTTTATAATAAAAACATATGTATCGTATTTTGAATATAATAATTATTTTATAGTAATACGAATAGGAATAATTTCTATTACAATATACATATAAAATAGCATGTCCTAACTGACTGACTAACTGACTCATTCATGTGTGTCTAGCCCAAACTATTGGATGGACCAGGCTGGAATTTAACGTATAGATGACGTAGGCATCCGCTAAGAAAGGATTTTCGAAAATTCAACTCTTTACATGGTAAAATAGTGTTTTTTTTTTAACGAATATATAATTGTTTATTTAATTTTGATATTATTCAATCTAACCTTACCTTGATAATGAAATGATAATTTGGCTGTCACATACAAGAAAACTATTATTATTTACACTATTATCTAACAATAACAAAACGTTACCGGGTCAGCTAATATAAATATAAATACTACTTACAATATTAAATTACAATATTAAGAACAATAATAATTATAAGTAATAATAATAAGTATAATAATTTGAATTTAAATTTATTATTATCGTAAATGCATTTATACAAATTAAACAGTTACCTACACAATATTTCGTTTGATTGGGTAAAATTATAAATGTATAAATCTACATTTATTTAAACTTTAAGACGTGTTAATTTAGATGGTTTTGATACTAAAGACTAATAGCGTTCTTCTTCCGAAGAGTGGAACATTTACGGATGGTGGTGGAAGGGTTTAGCTGGTTTTCACTCTCCTTCAAAGGCACACAACTTCTATAATATCAGTGTGCCTCATCACTAGTTACTACCACTATTTCCTTATTCATAATATTTGGCTATAGCCATTTTTCAATAGATATTATAAATAAAGGTTTGAATTTTTGAATTTTGGGTTACCGAATAGTAAATTAGGTGTTGAAAATTAGGTTACGTACTTCCAATTAAATGATTCATGAATATGTTCATAACATTATGAATAACCACTTCTTATATCAAATTATTTCACTTAGAATAGAGTTCTATATGTGTTGTAATGATGGATAAATTTGTAGAAACTTTAGAAAAGAAGTGATACGATACCCTTTTTTTACTTTAATGACCTTATTCAACCTTATTATTTACTCAAATTTAAATTATATATTTACGAAAATAATTATTATATTTTATACTCAATTTATAAGATATTGTACATTTTATTGATAAACAGATCTAATAAGAAATAAATTATTTTAATTAGGATATTATTTAAATAATAATAATACAAAATTACTGTTATTCATTTATTTTATATTTTTATATCAAATATCGCGTGGATATTAAATTAATTAGTTGTGGTTTTTTTTTATATTTTGTGTAAACATAAAATACACGCAGTTTTATTGTGTTACTTAACGTGTATAAAATTAATACAAGTACACGTATTTTTTTAGTTTCAGGATAAATTAATTAGTTTGTTTTTTTCATTCGTCCCACATTAAATTAAGTCTTCATTATAAAAGAGTTTTTTTTCATTTAACTATTATAATATACTGCGAGTGGTAACCCGACTAATTTTAACGTAGGCAAACAAATTTTAAATGTCTTTGTATACATAATTGATTATCAAAATATCAAGGTAGGTGGTAGGTATGTGATTCCTCGAAACGTGTTTTAGCATACAATATTTTTTTTTACATAATATTATATAATAATATGAACGAAAATAACATGTTTTTTTAATGTAGCAGAGTTTTTCTCATTATGATGTCAAGTTTGGCGACAAAACAAATTAATTTTCCATACAACGTGATATTTAAATTGAGTAATTTAATAAAATTAATATAATATAATATTTTAATAAAATGATAATTTGACTATGACGCGAGACTTGAATTTAAATATTATTGCGTTTAATCTAATCAAATCGAATCATTTTTTATATCACACAGTAGGTGGGCATAATAAAATTGCAAGGTTATGAATATGAAATATTTTGTTTGAAAATGCATTTAAAATATTTAAAAACATATTTTTGTTTTCAAATATTTGTCAATTAGTTTGGATTTTTAATACGTTTAGTAGATGTATGCCATAGGTACTATTAAAGTTTTAAATTTAAAAATAAATTATGAAAAATAAGAATTATTTGATTTTTGTTAAAATGAAATATTTCATTCAAATTTCATGATATTTTAGAACATAAAGTAGAAGTATTCAAACTATGATTTAGGCAACTACATTAAATATTTATACGAAATGTATGTATTTTAAATGTTAAGTGATAATTTGTATATTATTTTTTTTACTTACAGTTGATGTGTGTTTGCCCACCGGGGCTATCGTAACCGTTTCGTAAATAGACATTATGCGTTATCACCGAAAAAAATTAGGCGCCGAAAAATCTAAACAAATTCACGTAGATATTTTGTATTTCTTATCGTTCGATAAAAATACGTCCGCGCATCCTTATGCGTTAAACACGAGTGTTAAAACTACTCGAATCACATACTCGTTATCGTACGATGCCTCGCAACTGACATTACTAGTTGGTAGTCGTTGAGATTCTTTTAGTCCGAACTGATTGCGATTTGACCTTAGTATAATATTTCTTTGTAAATTGGTCCAGTTTATTATCATAGTAATAATAAACAAATAACAGATTAATCGTCATAAATAGTATAATATACATATAAATTCTATTGATGCAACAAATAATACAATAATGGTATTATACCTAAATATATATGTATACTATATATTTAGATAAAATATTGTATATTTGTGTATAATTTGTATTAATATTATTTATATAATATGACTATTTTATTTGATATTGTTTGTTATAATACCTCCCCTCCCCCCCTTTTTTTTTTGTCAATTTCAATTCTCTCAATTAACTCAATTATATTTAATGAAAAAAATGGATAGATATAATTAGTTTTCCGTTAGATTTTCCCAGCTCACTATTACAATAATATGATAATAATATTAAACTTTGTATTTTTTTTTTTTCTTACAAAGAAGGTATCGAATATCCAAATAAACCATTGTAATCAAATAATTTTGTAATTTATTAGTGGCGCCATATTATAAATTTTGGTTTTAAATATAATACTATTCTTGATAATAAACATAATGATGTGTTAAATTCTTTACCTACCTAATAAACAAAAGATTATTATTATCATTAAAATATAATCTAAATGCTAACAGAAAATAAACAAAACAGGCACTGTACTAATGTCAGCAATTTGACTTTTCACAAAGTTAATTGTTGCGTTAATAATTTTGTATACCATAATCAATAGTCTAATTTATTTATATTGATTTAATAGGTATACAAAATATATAATAATAATATATAGATTACAGATACAAAATATACAAAATGTATACCTATTATTTAAAGTAAATCACAATCGGTGTCATATAAACCCAAAGTGTGGTGGTCATCGTGAGAGGCACGTAGTGACTAATACAAATATTTGTGATATTTTTTTACACAGGACATTTTTACTTTAGTCATAATTTTAATCCAAGTGTTTTTTCAGATATTTTGATAGACTGTTATTTTAATACTCTATAGGTATTAAGTAGAAGTATTCAGACTATGATTTAGGCTACTATATTAAATATTTATACGAAATGTATGTATTTTAAATGTTAAGTGATAGTTTGTATATTATTTTTACTTACAGTTGACGTGTGTTTGCCTACCGGGGCTATCGTAACCGTTTCATAAATAGACATTATCCGTTATCACCGTAAAAATTAGGCGCCGAAAAATCTAAACAAACTCTCGTAGATATTTTGTATTTCTTATCGTTCGATATGAAAACGTCCGCGCACACTTGTGCATTAAACACGAGTGTTAAAACTACTCGAATCACATACTCGTTATCGTCCGATGCCTCGATACTGACGTTACTAGGTAGTGGGTAGTCGTTTAGATTCTTTTAGACCGAACTGACTGCGAGTTAACCTTAAAATAATATTTCTTTGTAAATTGGTCCAGTTTATTATCGTAATAATAATAAACATACAGATTAATCGTCATAAGTAGTATTATACATATACAAATTCTATTAATGCAACAAATAATACAATAACGGTGTTGTACCTAAATATGCATGTATACTATACATTTAGATAAAATATTGTATATTTGTGTATAATTTGTTTAACATTATTTATATAATATGACTATTTTATTTGATATTGTTTGTTTTAGACCCTGCCTTTTTTTTTTTTTGCCAATTTCAATTCTCTCAATTTACTCAATTATATTTAATCAGAGAAATGGATAGATTTAATTAGCTTTTCGTTTGATTTTCCATGCTCATTATTACAATAATTTGATAATAATATTAAACTTTGTATTTTGTTTTTTTTTTCTTACTAGGAAGGTATCGAATAACCAAATAAAACATTGTAATCAAATAATTTTGTAATTTATTAGTAGCGCTATATTATAAATTTTGGTTTTAAATATATACTTGATAATAAATATAATGATGTGTTAAATTCTTTACCTTCCTAATAAACAAAAGATTATTATTATCATTAAAATATAAACTAAATGCTAACAGAAAATAACCAAAACAGGTACCGTACTAATGTCAGCAATTTGACCTTTCACAAAGTTAATTGTTGCGTTAATCATTTTGTATATGATTATTAGTTGTAGTCTGATTTGCCTATAATGATTTAATAGAAATAAAAAATTTGATTATATTATAATATATAGATTATAGATACAAAATATACAAAATTTATACCTATTTAAAGTAAATTACAATCGATGTAAAATAAATCCAAACTGTGGTGGTCATCGTGAGAGGCACAGAGTGTCTAATATAAATATTTGTGACATTTTTCTACACAGGACATTTTTAATTTATTCATAATTTTAATCCAAGTGTTTTTTCAGATATTTTGATAGACTGTTATTTTAATACTTTAAAGGCATTAAACAAACTCGACGTGTTTTTCTGGAGTTCGGTTATACATGTTTTAAAAGACCGTAATATTTTTTGATAACTAAGTACAATTTATAACGAGCATCCTGTTAAACTTTTAAGCAATTTCTATTTGGTCAAAAAATTATATCCGTGCAGTACTTACCGAAAAAAATTTAAGTAAAAAACTAGTATAGACATTTTATGTCTATAAATATCTCGAAAATAGCTTAAATAGTTTGAAAATTTTACCACGTTTAGGAAAGGCAAATATAAGTTTTATGTGCAAATTTCAAATCTCTACGAATATTTTTAATTGAATCATATCAAAAAATAAAATTAAAAATAATAAATTTCGTAAATTTCCTCGTTTTCTATGTTTCTCCCAATTTTCACGAATTATAATAAAAAATGCTTAAGAAATCAACAAAATGTTTCTTTTAAAAAAAAAAATTTCCATCCAGATTAATATTTCCTTTCAGAAAAGATACTATACACTTGAAAATCACAGCCAGATTTCTAATAGAAAAGTTGTTTAATGATAAAAAGAAAACATCATTAATAAACATTGTATTCTGAGTGGAGCTCTGAATATAAAAGTATACTATATTATAATTTATTGTCTACTATTAAAACATAAACTTAATTAGTATATGAAATACGTATTGTGTATAACACATTAAGCTAAATAAGTATACAGTATATACTTGTACACATTTCGGATCCCTATTTGGACGCACCCCTTTAAGGATTTACTAATTTAAACTACTGAGAAATTGTAATTATCCCACTACTGTACTAGTTTAAATCAAATCTAAATGGAACTTGGGTTCATACGTCTGTATTTATTGACGTGTAAAACCATATGTTATTATTATGTAGGTAGGTGCTTTACTACATTTTATGAATTTAATTTCTTTGGGAACGAATTAAATGACCTCCTCTTGCTTTTATAGCGTGTTAAAAGTTTCTCGCCGACGTCGTTTTTATTCGTTACTAATTAATTTTCCGACAAGAAACGTTTTAATCACAAGTGTATTTTCTAGTATACCATTAAAGACTTATCCAATTAAATGTCAACAAAGTTTACATGTAATAGTATGATTTAATATTTGCGATATGTATTGGGTACTTTTTATTGGGTTATTTTAATAATCAGACCGCCTTTTATAAAATTCATTTTTTACAAACTCAACAACAAAAAAGCTGATACTTCTGATGAATGTGTAACTGTTATCAATGGGAAATTGGAATGATAGGAAATGTAAATTTAGTGAATTTATATTTGAGCGTAACAATAAATTAATAGTAACGAAATATGATTTTGAGTGCAATTAGTTTAAAAATGTGTTTTTTTATTTTATTTTGTAGAAATTACAGGTCTTAACGATTATTTTTTAATCGAATTAAAACCAAAATTAGATGACAATTTGGGAAGGTAGGATACGTAAAATTATCAAATTTATATCTGTAAGCAATGATACGCCATTGCTAACGAAGGAAGATTCTGAGCGAAGTTTACGCTCAATTAACATTCCGGGATGCGTTCGAAAACTCAACACGAGTTAACTCTATTAATAGTATAATATAATACATAATATACATAGTAATACTCTACTTTGATCTGAATTTCTTAACGTAGACTTTCCGAGACGCATCGTAAATATTTGTCAGTTTTGCCTATGTGCTAATTTTTTCGGTTTTTTCAATTATTATGAAAACAACTTGGAAAATAAATAAAATTACCCCCTCAATGCATCAACGAGATCGAAAACACAATCAAAAAAGTTTTCTTGTTATTTTTTGATCGGAGAAAGATTTCTGGTAGAAAATTTGTTTACAGATAGAAAAAAATATATATATCACAGTAAAACCAAAACATTATTTTCTACGATTAGAAGCTCAAAAAAATACAGTGTAATATTGAATAATAATATATTTATTCATTGTACGATATAATGATTAAGTAATTAAAAACAAATAAATTATATGGTCGTATATTATTGTTTAAATTAACATTTAACCCCAACACTTTTTATATTATTAGTCTAAATAATGTTTATTTATTTCTAATATTGCTGATGGGTATGCTGTTATAAATGGAAAGTCGGGAATGTAGGATATATACATTTATTTAAAGAGTAATTTAATTTCTATCTGTATGCGATGTTAAACCATTGCTTACGAAAAATAATTCTAAGCGAATTTTGATTAAACATGTTTAAAAATATTCCAACATTAACGTCATGATTGTCTTTTTGAAGTTGATTATTGAAGGTTTGGTAGAAAGTAAAACCGAATGATGAAGACCAAGGATGGAACTTATGAGTATACAGAAAATACTTGAGGAATTGGGAATGGAAAGTTATTGAGAGTGGAATGGTCTGAGTTTTGACAGAGAAGCATCATGGAGAGCTATAGCCATTCAATTGAAAGAAAAAGGGAAGAGAAAAATATTTTATTTTCAGTCGATTTATTAATTTTATAAGGTAATGATATTCTTAAGTTTATGTATACAAATCGCATATTTTATACTTTTTATAACAGTTAAATATTTTATGTTTAATATTAGACTGTTGTAATCATGTATTATAGAAATGAAAAATAACAGGAAATTAATATTTTTTGAAGTGAAAAAAAAATAATGGAATAAATAAAGAGCACATTATTTATAGCTTAGTACTTTTATTATGATTATTCAAGTCAGTAAAGCCTAATATCTAGGTTTAATAGTTGTCCTGTGTACGAAATCGTTTACTTCCCTTCTCGAATTTAATGGACGTTAATATAATTTATTATAAAATATGTATAAATCATATAGTATTATTATAAGGATGTGTATTAAATGTATATACAAGATATTTTAGTACCTATAAGTTTTCAATTTCGTTAAAAAAAAAAAAAAAAAAAAAAAAAAATGAAATGAAAAATAACGTTTTATTATTCAACCATTACGTATAAAGTGATAATAATAAATACATAAATACTCATTAATAACGTAAATAAAAAAAAAAGATTAAAGCACAAAATGAATTAGCGTCATTGTCGAAGTATACATAAATGAAACAAATGAAAAAAAAAAAAAAAAAAAAAAAAAAAAAAAAAAAAAAACAAACGAAAATGGCGATTCGAAATTAAATTACAGTTTGTGTATAAATCACAAATAAAATTCCGCTGCAAGGGAAAAAAAAATACTTAGTTGAAATTCAAAAGCCATTTGTTTGAAAATCCCATCAGTTTTCATTATACCGTCTTTCTCTTGTCATCGCGTCACATTACAGTTATCTTCGGTAAAATAATTTCAGGCCTATCATACTATATAATATATTATTAAGTAAATCGTATTGACCGTTGATAAAAACATAAATTAGAACTGTATAATTTAAAAAAAAAAAATTAAACAATTTTGTTTCAGTTGTAAAATAGCCTAATTGTTTATTAGTTGTTGGATATAGAATGACTAAATTGCGTTAAACAAATGGATACCTATATAAATCCATTATTTATAGGTAAAATCCTTAACTACTGCTTCTTATTAATGAATTATTATTATTATAAATGACTTTTCATATTATATTGATGGATATACCTACCGTAAAAAAATTGATAATAATAATAATAATAATATTCGTGTACAAAATGTGCTTAAAAGGTAAAGGACGTACTTTGATGGAGATTAAAATTCAACAGAATGACGTAACTAACCCTCCGAAAAGGCTTAAATAAAATAAAGGCTTTTATGTACTTTAATAATTTTATTTATTTTTATTTTAATGAAGTGTACTGCTGCAGTAGTTCTGATGAGATTTTTAAACAAGTTATGATAATAATAAGTTAAAACGATTTTTTTTTTTTTTTACTTACACAATTTTTAACAATTGCTTTTAAGAATAAAATATCTGTCGAAAATATACACAACTATATTATAATAAAATAAGTATACACACCATTATTATATTTTATGTCTCTAATATTTAATAATGCAATTTTGTTCATTA